GGGGGTTTATCAAAAATCTCTCTGCAAGGGGCTTGGGGAGATAGGTGAGGGGTAAGGGAACAGATCTAGGTGTGATCCCTGGCACCACAAGGCCTTCAGAGCACTGTGGGGTGTGGCCTTATGGTCCCTGGTACCACAGGGCCCGAGCAGGACCATGTTGAAGTCTGCGCTTTTGCATGTGGTAGTCACCTGGCCGACCCTGCGCACTGTTGCAGCAGGTGTGCAAAGTGAGCTTGAGCCCTGGAGAGACTCCGTGCAGTGAAGCCACGGTGCAGTCTACTCTTGGATGTCCCAGACCTTCTCCTGGCTCTGCTCTCAGGGATCACTCCTGGTGGAGACTCAAGGACCACACAGGGCGTGGGGCTTTGAACTGGGTTGACTGCATGCAAGGTAAGCACCCTACCTGCTGTACTATGGTTCTGACCCTTTTCCTCCTTCTTTGAGCATTGGATGGTGCTTAGGCTTGGGTAGTGTTCTTCATCGGACTGTAACTTTCTAAAGTAAAAGCCATTTCTGAAATGTCTCTTATGACTCTTAGTATGAAGTCTCATGGACCCAACTTTTTTTTTTTCATAATAAGGTGATAGAAAATTATGGTATGATGAGGCCAGAGCAGTAGTATATAGTGGGTAGGACATTTGCCTTGTATGCAGCCAATCCAGATTTAATTCCTGGCATTCCATGTGGTCCCTCCACATGAGCATGATCAGGAGTGATCCTTTTTTTGGGGGGGTCACATCTGGGGATGCACAGGGGTCGCTCGTGGTTCATGCCCTCAGGAATAACTCCTGGTGGTGCTGGGGGACCAGTTGGGATGCTGGGAATCGAACCTAGGTCAGCCACATGCAAGGCAAACACCCTACCCACTGTGCTATCACTCCAGCCCAGGAGTGATGCTATTGTAGAATGACTGCATTATTTCCTAAAACACACTGTTAGTCACTGGAAGGAATAATCATAACCAAGAGGAACTGACTTCCCAGAGCCCTTCATAAATGGTGCACCCCACAAACTGGACACCCCCTCTCTTTTAGAGAACAGAGTGGTGAGGGTGGAGATGGGCCTTCTGAGCCCTGAGTGAGAGGGAACAGGATGTGGGCCTGCTCAGTTAATGCTTTCTCCCCGTGAGCACGTACCTAGCATCTGCTCGAATGTGTTGAGTTTGGCCACCAGCAGGGTTGCTAAGGGCGCGGAGGGTTTTGTTTGGCATTTTGTGGACTGAAGCTCCGTAGTTATGACAGGGGAGGGCTTGATGGTGACTTTTGTGTTCATAAGTGTTGCCCAACAGTCGTCGTTGGTGGCCGAGTAACTGGGCAGTTAGAAACAGGTTTTGTGGGCATGTTCCCTGCGGCCAATTCCACATTCCAGGAGACATTTAAAGGATTAGGAAGAAGCTCCTTCTAATCCTTTCAAAAGGAACAGCTTTCTGGCAGGCTTTTCACCCAGGCCACGAGCCCTGGAAACTTCAGAGGTGTATGCTGGTTTCTGGACTGAGTCTAGAAGGAAGCAGGGTCTCAGATCTGTGACGGACAGAACTAGAGCTCCGGGTTCCCAACTCGTCCACGGCCCAAGCCCCTCAAATATACCCTGTACATACATGTTTGTCTAAGTCATGTGGAGTTTGTGTTCTGTGCACTTAAATTGACTGCCAAACTTCTGGGAATTTTTCTTTTAAGACGTTCTGGCTATAACTGTCATTGTCACTGTTTTCCCGTTGTTCATCAATTTGCTTGAGTGGGCCCAGTAATGTCTCCATTGTGACATTTATTATTGTGTTTGGCATATTGAATACGTCACAGGTAGCTTGCCAGGCTTTGCCGTGCGGGCGAGATACTCTCCGTAGCTTGTTGGGCTCTGGCTATAACAACAACAAAAAATGTTTGTTTTGGTCTAATAATCTGTCCTTTTCAAGATTATTCTTTCTCCACGAAAGTCTTTTTTTAAAAAGTTTTATTTATTGAATCACCATGAGAACAGTCACAAAGCCTTTCAGTTTAAGTCTCAGTCGGTCGTACAACGATCAAACACCCATCCCTTCACCAATGCACATTTTCCACCACCAAGAACCCCAGTATACCCTCCTCCCACACCCCACCCCCCGCCTGTGTGGCACTGTGCCACTTTACTCTCTCTACGTTAATCACATTCAATATTATGACAAAAACCCCAACATTATTATTTGGAATTTTCCCCAACATTCAGACCTGCCAAAAAAGACATCGTTAGATAATTCCAAACCACATAAGTGGCCGTGCAACATTTCCTGATATGCAAAGCGATCAATGGAAAGTAAATAATCTAGCATTTGACCCCGAAAAACAGTCTTGAATGGTGGTGGGAAAATCTGAGTGAAATTTAATTCTTAACAGAAATGCATCTGGACTGTGCATTTAACAACAGTGCTATGTCACCCTGGAAGGGGAAGGGTGTTTGTTCCTTCACCTCTACAACCCTTGTGGCGGCGGCCTGGAGGCCTCCATCTTTTAGAGCCTAATGAACAGCCAATTAGGAGACTGCATTGATGAGGCACGTGGGGCCTCGTGGGTTGGGGGGGATGGAATTGACCTGCTCCCCACCATGACAATGCCCTGGGATGCCACCCACAAACGCCTCCTCCGACTCCTGGACAACCATGATCCCAGAAGCACACAAACCAATCTCAGAACCTAGGGGCCTTTGGCAGTAATCCTTCTAGAATTATTACTAAAATATCAGAAATCTAAACTCACGAGGCTGCTATTGCAGCCACATGGAAAGTCTTTTTTTAACCCTTAACATTCAGAATTTTTACTAAATTATTTATAATGTCCTTAACAAGATGACATCAAATGTCAACAGTTGACATTTAATGAATGTTGAAATCTCAACAAAATGATAGACCCATAATATATTAATGAATAGATTCCATGATCTATTCTAATTGCATTAGATTTACACTTCAAGTATTTTGTTTATTAATTTGTGGAGGTTGTTATTTCCTTTCTTAATGAGTATTTGCTCCTTTGACTATAATGCAATTCTTACAACTGGGTTTTGTTACATTTTTAAAAATCAATTTTGATGTGTTAAGAAATTGGTTATTTTGATTGCTCTGCTATATCATTTGGAAATTCTCCTTTTCTGAATGTGGTTTCTTAGTAAACAAGACTTATTTTCCATAACAGACTTTATCAGCCTTGAATACACTCTTTTACTCTGCTGTCAAATATTTTTCTCCAGTTCAGAAAGTATTTTTTTTCTGTAAAAATGTTTAATTCATTAAATGATGCTACTCAAAAAAAAAGGAGAAGGAGAAGGAGAAGGAGGAGGAGGAGGAGGAGGAGGAGGAGAAGAAGAAGAAGAAGAAGAAGAAGAAGAAGAAGAAGAAGAAGAAGAAGAAGAAGAAGAAGAAGAAGGAGGAGGAGGAGGAGGAGGAGGAGGAGGTTCTGGCTATAGAAGTATAGAATGTCTTGGAAAAATAGGAACAATTGAGTTATTTAGGGACACATGTTTCTATATTGGGGGCTGTCAGGAAGCATTGGGGGAGTTACTCCCTTTTAAAAATTTATTTATTTCTTTTTATTGAATCACCGTGAGATACAACACAGTTACAAAGTTGTTCATGATTGGGTTTCAGTCATACAATGTTTCAACACCTGTCCCTTCACCAGTGTACATTCCCCCACCATCAATGTCCCTAGTTTCCCTCTCACTACTGTCTCCCCCTTCCAGCCTGCCTCTATGGTGGGCACTTTCTCCTCCCTCCCTCCCTCCCTCCCTCCCTCCCTTCCTCCCTCCCTCCCTCCCTCCCGCCCTCCTTCCCTCCCTCCCTCCCTCCTCCTCCTTTTTCTTCCTTCCTCCCTCCTCCTTCCTTCCTCCCTCCCCCTTCCTTCCTTCCTTCCTTCCTTCCTTCCTTCCTTCCTTCCTTCCTTCCTTCCTTCCTCCCTCCCTTCCTCCCTCCTGCCCTCCTTCCCTCCCTCCCTCCCTCCTCCTCCTTTTTCTTCCTTCCTCCCTCCTCCTTCCTTCCTCCCTCTTCCTTCCTTCCTTCCTTCCTTCCTTCCTTCCTTCCTTCCTTCCTTCCTTCCTTCCTCCCTCCCTCCCTCCCTCCCTCCCTCCTTCTCTCTCTCTCTCTCTCTCTCTCTCTCTCTCTCCCTTCTCTCTCCCTTTGGGCCTTATGGTTTAGTTTCCCCCTTTTTGGATGGGCAGGACTCTGCTTGCACCTCACCTTCTCTCATCTCTGGCTTTCACCAGCGCATCTCATGACCCCAAGGTAGGTGAAGAGATTGAGGATAAAGGATGTGGTGAACAATCAGGAAGGAGGCAATTGATTATATTCAACATTGTCATCTCCTGGACGATCCAATAAAGCACTCTTCCGTAGACAAGATGAGTTGATAATCTTTGTGGTCTCGAAACAGAGGAGTGCTCAAAACGGTCTCCTAGGTGAAGCCACACTGCCTCTCTGTACCCTGACCCCTGGTTAGTGGTCAAAGAGCATTTGAGGTGGGTGGGCAGAAACCAAAGGGGCAAGGGGCAATCTCTTTGGGGAAGGGGGCCCCCAAGAACTGCACAGGGGAGCCCAGCAGAGGGGCCGATCAATGTATTACTCATTGTTGTGCCTTGTTGTGCTGAAAGTTGCCAGGTTCATACCTGGAGGGAGAATGGGGTTTCCAGGCTCTACCTGGTGGCACACAGGGAGGACATGTGGTACCAGAGCCGATCCTAAGACCCCCCACATGCACTGTATGGTCCCCAGCCCTTTCCAACTGTCTCCCTGCCCAAAGGTTAGTATTAAACATGACCCTGGGGGACACATCCATCGTCCTTTGGCTGCCTTCTGTCTCCTTTAGAATTATGAGGCAAAGAAGAAAAGGAACTGAAGATGACCCTTCTTTGTGGAGCATTTTGAACACATTCAGACTATAAAGAACCCCTGGTTTGGATCTGGCTGTGCCAAATTACACGGGAAAGATTATTTATCCGCTTCTTTCCATTTTGTCTTTTGGGGGGAACCCGAGCAGGAGACATATGATCATCTTCTGGAAGTCCCAGTCAGCCGAGAGCAGCTTAACCACTATCGGAATGTGGCTGAGAAGACCCAAAGCGAACTTGCAGCCACTTTGGTCAAATTTGAATGTGCTCAGTCCGAGGTAGGATGATGAGTCTTCATCCCATAGAAATGGGCCCTTTTGGCTCTTCAGAGAGTGAAGTGAAAAGTAGAGGTGATTAGATAACAGGGCAGGGATGACCTGGGTAACATGCATGCCTCTCAAATTATGTGTTCACCTCAGGAGTGTTTCTGAGAGGTCTGTACCTGCAACCAAGCAAGGTGGTGTGGGCTGGATGTAGATCCCAGAGGAACTGTACACTCTTGAGAGTCCTGAGGGGCACCTGGGGACATGGGGATGAGACTGCAGGGGCTTTGGAGGGACTTGGAGAATGTCCTTTTACTGTGGAGTGCTTGTGGTTTCGTGGTCTTTGGATGGAATTTGGAATGGCTTCTGGTGGTTTTTCTGATTGACCAGAGAAAATTCTAGGAAGGCAGTGGGGTCTATCTATCCTGTGGGCTAAATCAAATCTCTAGTGAGGTTTCTGAGACAACCTTCTGGAACCACATTGCTCCTAGCCTGGGGGTATACCTGGGGCTTCCTGGAGTCTGAGATTATCCATCTAGTGATATATCACAGAAATGCCCAGAACACACTGGAAGGTGAATTGAAATGTGTGTGAGGGTGGAGAAGTATTATGCAGGTTTACAGTTCCAAGAACAGCCTGCTTCAAAGTCAGTCTTTTTTTCCCTTTTTTGATTTTTCCTGGCTCTGCACCCAGGAATTACTTCCTGCGGTGCTCTGGGGACTCTATAAGATGCCGCAGATCGAACCCAGGTCAGCTGTGTGCCCTACCCACTGGACTATAGTTCAGCCCTGGGACTCTCTGTTTAGAAGGCACATGCAGGGTCCAATATTTTGATGCCAGAGAATTCCTAAAAGTAAAAAATACTTCCTTCATATAATTTCATATTTTTTCTTTTTCTCACACGTTCTCTTTCCATCCCCCTCTGGAAAAGGGGAACTATATATCTTTAGCCGTAGTAAGACTCCAGAAAAGCAACTGGTGGAAATAGAGTTGAGTAGTCCATATTTTCTTGGGAAACAAATGTGATTAGGCTGTCACATATAGCATAATCTCTTGGTTCCTGGTTTCTATGGTTTCCAGCATCAATGGCAGCAATAAGGATTTAGAGCATCAATGACAGCAATCAGGACATCTACAGTGCCTTTATTTTTTTCTTTTTTGGGTCACACCTGGCGATACTCAGGGGTTACTCTTAGCTCTGTACTTCATCAGGAATTACCCCTGGTGGTGCTTGGGGAACATTATGGGATGCCAGGGATTGAATCTGGGTTGGCCATGTAAGGTAAATGCCCTACCCACTGTACTATTGCTCGGGCCCCCATCCACAGTGTCTTTGAGTGAGACTAAGTTGCTACAAGACATTGCTCATTTGGTTTGAAAAAAGATAGTCTATGAGGTCTTTTATTAATATTATTAATTTTTTGTAAGTGGTGTCAGAAGTTGAACCTGTCTCAAACATGCAGGGCATGTGCTTTACCATTGAGTTGTCCAGGAGGTCTTAATAATTAATTAATATTCATTGTAAAGACTGCTTTATTGGCAACAGTGAAGCACAAGTCTATGAATATTGATCTTTGAAGACCCCAGATGTGGGTTGACTGAACCATCTGATTGCCGGGATGATAAACTAAAGTTGATTCTGCTTCTGGGGACATGAAGCCATCACCAGCTGACATAGGGTATATTGTGTCTCACCAACTGGAAAAACATGGTATTTAACAGGGGAGGACATCGGCCACTTTACCTTTCTGATGCACTGGCATGCCATTATTTTCTTGGAATGGCTTTAGTTTCTCTGGAACTTTACTTTCACAGTATATAGAGGAAGCAGTATGTAGGTCCTCTAGGAAATGTGATGAAGAGCCAGCAAATTCTGTGATATGTTGGCTCAGTAATTTTTCACCAACTATGACAATGGAACTAAACAAACAAAACACTGTCCTCCCATTGTTCATGGATTTGCTAGAGCGGGCCCAGTAACGTCTCCATTTTATTTTTTGAGACTTCTTGTTACTGTGTTTGGCATATTGTTCATGGATTTGCTCGAGTGGGCCCAGTAACGTCTCCATTTTATTTTTTGAGACTTCTTGTTACTGTGTTTGGCATGTTAAATACGTCACAGGTAGCTTGCCAGGCTTTGCCGTGTGGGCGAGATACTCTCGGTAGCTTGCCGGGCCTCCTAGAGGGGCAGAGGAATCGAACCCGGCTCAACCAGTCTGGCTTCGCACAAGGCAAACGCCCTACCACTGTGCTATCACTCCAGCCCACAATGGAACTACTGGAATGCAAATCACGACAGCAGAACCGGATCTACTTTCTCCATGAAGTCCATTATTTGGGCCTAATGTTCCCTCTGGGAATCCAATTACACAAATGAGAATAAAGTAAGCTTGGATTAAGTTGTGAAGGAAAGAGTGAAAATTGAAAGTATGGGTTGGGATTTCTTGAAGGGACTTTAAGCTTATAGCGTCATTTAAAAAAAAAAATCTTCTTACTTCTTTTCCATGTTAGCTTCGAGACCTTCGCTCTAAGATGCTGTCCAAAGAAGCTTCCTGCCAAGAGTTGAAAGCAGAAATGGAGAGCTACAAAGAAAACAATGCTCGGAAATCATCTCTCCTCACCTCTTTGAGAGACAGAGTTCAGGAGTTAGAGCAAGAATTGGTAGTACTTTCCAATTCTAAAATTCGAACAGAAATCACAGCTCACCAGGCCATCAAGGAGAACGAGGAGTTAAAGAAGAAAGTCATAGAACTACATGAGAAATTACAGTAAGATGCTTTTAATATGTATCTCAGTTGAGTTTGTGATAACAACATCTGATGGCAGATAACACCTCTATTTTTTTGATGGGTTTGGGCCACACACAGCAATGCTTGGGGATTTCTCCTGGCTCTGTATGAAGGAATCACTCCTGGCAGTGTTCAGGGACCCATATGGGGTTCTGGGGGATTGAACCTAGGTTGGTTGTGTGCGAGGCACGGTTCTACCTGCTATCCTCTTGCTCTGTCCTCAACAGATGACACCACTGAAAGTACTGGCCCTAAAACTCAGTTAAAATACTACTGGCTTGGGGCCGGAGAGCATAGTACAGCGGGTAGGGTGTTTGCCTTGCACACAGCCGACCTGGGTTCAATCCCTGGCATCCCATATGGTCGAGCCTGAACACTGCCAGGAGTAATTCCTGAGTGCAGAGCCAGGAGTACCCTTGAGCATCACTGGGTGTGACCCAAAAAAGCAAAAAAAAAAAAAAAAATTACTGGATTTGGACTGGAGACATAAGACAGGGCTTGGGGCACCTGCCTTGCATGTGGCCAACTCTAGTTCATTCCTGGCACCATGTGGTTCTTTGAGCAGTGCCAGGAGCATCCCTTGAGCATGGAGCTAGAAGTAACACTTGAGTTCTGCTGAGTGCAGCCCTAAATCTTCCCCCACCAACTAAAGTGACTAACCCCAGCATCTTTGAAGTCTTGAGACTCCCCTCTTCAAGCTCATTTCTAAAGTCTCCCCATGTAGCATTTTCCTGGATATGTATGGGGCCTCTGTGTTAGGCTCTGATGCTCATATGTACAAACTGGAAGTTTGCCTTTCTTTCTTTCTTTCTTTCTTTCTTTCTTTCTTTCTTTCTTTCTTTCTTTCTTTCTTTTTGTTTTTTGCCATATCCAGCGATGCTCACGGGTTACTACTGCCTCTGTTCTTACTCCCGGTGGTACTCAAGGGACCATACAGAATGTGAGGGGTCAAACCTGGGTGGATCACATGCAAAACAAATTCCCTGCCCACTGTACTATCTCTCCAGCCTTGGAAGATTTCCCTTAAGTAGAGGTTTAATTGGAGATGCCAGCCAAGAGAGGTGTTCATTCAGAAACTAGTTACGAAAACATTCATGAGGTGTTACTGCCGTTCATGTGGGGAGTTCATGAAACCTAGACTTTCCATACTTGGTTCTGGCCAAAGGTGGCTATTAGGAGAAAATCGGAAAGTCCTTGTCTCTAAAACACTTTGTCAATTCTATATATAGTAATGGAAATAATGTTAAAATAAAATATTTGATATATATTTTAATATTTGATATTTACTGTGGCAGTTCCATCAAAAAGAAAACACCCAACATTTCCACCTCCTGACCTCTCTCTCTCTCTCGTTCCTGCTGACTCTTCAGATGCGAGTGTGGGCTCATTGCCTCTAATTCTCAGTCTCCCTTTTCAGGGATCCATTCCTCTTGAAATCACTCACTGGGAGAGTGAGTAACCACGTATTGAAGGGAAAATGGTTAATCATTCTCTCATTTCACTTACTGCTTCATTCGTCACCTGGATTCTCTCAAAACCATGTTCTTCTTTTGCCTCCCAGAAGACTACACTTGCTGGGTTTTATCCTCCCTTTCTGGTTTTTGTTTTGGGGCTCACCCAGTTGTGCTCAGGGCTTACTCCTGGCTCTGTGCTCAGCGACCATTGCTGACAGTGCTCCGTGGTGCTGTTGATCAAACCTGTGAAAGCCACGTTCAAGGCCTTAATTCTGTACTCTCTCTCCTGCCCTTCCTCCCCGGCTTTCCTTCCCAGCTATCTGACTTCCCTGCTATGCCATCAGCACCCCCAGTGTGGTGCTACATTGGTGAGATCTTGGTACTACTACAAGCCCCCACTTCAGAGCAGTGGTCTTGCCACTTCCTTTGGCAGGAAACTCTTTCTCCAGGTACCAGGTGGGTTCTCTCTGTGTTTCCAAGTTTTATACTCACTTCACAGTGACATCTTTCATGAGTCACTGGAGTGAGAATTGCACCCCTCTTTCCTCCAATACTTATTTCCTTTCCTGCTGAATTTATTTATTTATTTATTTGCTTTTTGGGTCATCCCTGGCGATGCTCAGGGGTTCCTCCTGGCTTTGCACTCAGGAATTACTCCTGGCGATGCTCAGTGGACCATATGGGATGCTGGGAATTGAACCCGGGTCGGCCGAGGCAAGGCAAATGCCCTACCTGCTGTACGATTGCTCCAGCCTTTCTTGCTGAATTTTATCCATACTTTCAATATCACATTAGTCATTTAATACTCATTTAATGTTCATCAAAATAATAATACTATTTTAATGATTGTATTTCATACTAGAATGCTGACCAGTGGAATATGAATGTGTATTTTTATATTATTTATTACTCATCTTTAGTACCTTTAATAGATCCAGGTGTAGAATAAGTGATCACTTAAATGAGATAACCAAGTAATAAAATGATATATAGTCACTGTGAAAAAGTTTCTTTACATTTAAAAGTGCCAAAGAAATTAAAATTACTCAAAACCTTATGATTCCTGAAAAGCAGTAGTTCACGTGTTTTTCTGAGCAGCACTTTCGGTTGTACACAAATGAGATGGGCAAGTTTCACTGGAAATGAGATATTTCTGAAAGTCGTTTATGATGTTGTTTTCTAAAAAAATAGTAACCAAGTTGCTATTGACTCTTTATACTGAATATTGCTAAGTGATTTACCTCCATCATCCAAGCATTTTTTTTTAACCACTTGGATTTTGGGCTACACCTGGAGGTGCTCAGGGGTTGCTCTTGGCTCTGCACTCAGGAATTCTCCTGGCAATGCTTGGGGGACCATATGGGATACCAGGAATGGAACCTGGGTTGGCCGCGTGCAAGGCAAGTGCCCTATACACTGTACTATCGCTCCAGCTCCTAGTTTATTTTTAAAAACATACACCAAGCTGCAATTTGGAAGCTCTTAGAATAGATAAAAAAGATTAAAATCATATGAGTTAATGTTTGTATATATATATATATATATATATATATATATATATGTAAACCTGTAGCACTAACTGTGCTTTTAATGAGTCAGGTGCACCAAAAAGAAAGTTACCTTTCATATGCTAAAACTGAGAACTTAGAGGTATATTGATGTTGGTCTTTTTTGTCATGCATTTTTCTAAATAAAAATATAACAAGCCTTTGAGAATATGCAATTACATGTTTTGTAGTTCTCTGAACAGAGTGAAATAATTCACAGTAAACACTCAACGTGGTAAAAAGGGAAAGCTATAATCATGTTTATTCTCTGGGGTATACTGAAACATACTACCAAATTACTGAACTGATTATGACTTGCTTTTAAAATATATCTACTTTCTAAAATTATCTGCCTTACATTTAAATAATCTGCGTGCAAAATAGATGATGCTGTTTCAGTGAAACTACCTGAGTCTTCAAATAAAATATTCAGAGTAGGGCATCAATCTGTTGAGTATCTTTGACTGGCCTAGTCCATTTACTCTTTTCAAGACTCAGAGGGAGTGTGAAAATTAGTAATGACTGAACACTTCTTTTTCCTAGAGAGGGGAACAAACCCTGCTTCTGATAATATCTGTCTGTCTGTCTGTTTATCTAATATATTACAGTCATACTGACCTGTGAACCGGAAGATGCCCTTACTAACTCTGATAGGTCACTGTATCATCTTTGACAGCAAAGCAAAGCACGATCCCCTAGAACTGAATCAGCAACTTTCCCTTCCCTACAAAGCCTCAACACACATCCTTGGCTGTGTGAATCCCTGTCGATCCATGAGGATCTAGAGGGGCTGTTTGACAGCTTTGAAAAGGTTGGGGGTGGAGAGAAGGCCGGGAGTCTATCTCCCTAGATCTCAGATGCCAGGAGGACCCCCTCCCTATCTGCAAAATGCAGGTACCCACAATTACTCTCCCCCGACCCCCCTTTTTCCTATCTCAACTATGTTTGTATGACAGTGCTGGATTCTGCGTCTGATCTTCCGTGGTCTTCCAACTTGACTTGTTTTATTGTTTTCCCAACAGAAAGTGTTTAACGGAAAATGAAGAGACTAAGAATCAAATCTCGAAGAATTGCAGGAGACACGAGGAGTTCCTAGCTCAGCTCCGTGAGAGCTTGGATCCAGACGAGAAGAACCAAGAGGCTTCTGATGAAGATTTAATTCTAAAGGTGTTTGTATGCAGATTGAAACCACTCTGGTCTGCGCTGTGGTTGAGTCTTGGGTGGCAGGAGCAGGGGAAAAATCCCCAAGTGTGATATCGATTGACAACCAGGGACAGAGCTGGCCTCCCCCCCGAGCCTCGATATTGAGAGCTTTCCTGACATTACATGGGATTTCTTATAATCCAAATGAAATCTATTGGCCTAGACTCTACTTGTCTCAGACCTGTTGTCCATCCATTAATAATTCAGTTAATGACATGAACTGGAGATAAAGTACAGCAGATAGGGTTCTTGCCTTACCCATCAGTCATATGGTCCTTAGAGCATGATTACCCGCTGAGCATCACTAAGTGTGGCCCCCAAAGCAAAAATACAAGCAAACAAACGAACATGCAGAGATTTTGTTGTGACAGAAACACGCATTCCCACCACGCCAGCTCTGTGTCCTTTCTGAGCGACCCATTGGGTGTAAGGTCATGAGATTCTAAAAACACTTTGGAATTTTTACGTTGAGTACGACTAAACCTCCTGCTTGCTAGTAAGGTGGGCCTTTGTGGTCACAGCAGGGACTCACTGGGCATTTGCAGCCCTGGAGCGAGCCCCGTGTCTATTCCTTTGTGGCTCTTCCCGCTCTTGCTTCCTTACGGGTTTCTTTGCCACCATTCTTGGCTTCCTTTTTTTTTTTTTTGGTGTCTGGGAATTGCACCCATGGTCTCATGCAGGATGGGGTGGCTGTCCTCAAAGGTCCTCTGGTCTCACTCTGATAAGTGCCAGTAGCGTTGTGTTGCTCCGCAAAGTCCCTCTTCACTGATACACTTGGGAAGTTCAGGTCCAAAGGCTTCCAGAGCACCCAAGTGTCTCCTCCCCTCCTTCCCTTTTCTCCTCCTCCTCCTCCTCTTCTTCCTCCTCCTCTTCCTCCTCTTCCTCTTCCTCCTCCTCCTCTTCTCCTCTTCCTCCTCCCTCTTTTCCGTTTCCCCCTTTCTCCTCACCTCCTTTCCTCTCTTCCTCTTTTTCTCCTCTCCCTCCTCCTCTGCCTTTTCCCCCTCCTCCTCCTCCTTTTCCTTCTCTCCCTCCTTTTTCCTCTCCCCCCACCCCCATCCTTCTCCCTCAGCCTGTCCTGTCACCAGGGCCTGGCTGTTAGGTACACACTGTGCTATAGACTGGGATGATCTCTAAAGCCCAAAAGGAAAATCTTCAGCAGAAGGAATTAAGAAATTCCTTTCAGGGACTGGAGTGATAGCATAGCAGGTAGGGTGCTTGCCTTGCATGCGGTCGACCCGGATTCGATTCCCAGCATCCCATATGGTCCCCTGAGCACCGCCAGGAGTAATTCCTGAGTGCAGAGCCAGGAGTAGCCCCTGTGCATTGCTGGGTGTGACCCCAAAAGCAAAACAAACAAACAAACAACAACAACAAAATAACCAAATTCCTTTCAGGACATCCTCCAACTCTCAGCTTCTAGGAGGTGAATCCAGGTGTTGCTACCCTCTTAATCAGACTTTTTATTTATTTTTTTTTGTGGGGGCGGTGCTGGGGCATCTTTGGGCCACACCTGGTGGTTGCTCAGAGGCACTTCCTGGCTCTTGCTCAGAAGTGACCCCTGGAGGTGTTCAAGGACTGTAGGCAGTGCCAGGGTGGGCAGGATGCCAGGCAAACATCTTCACCTCTGTCCTCTCTCTTTGAGCCTTTCCTATCTTTCTAACGCTTTGGGTTCTGGCTGCTCAGGAGCGGCTGTGGTTCTGGGAGCAGGTTTCCCGGGGCAAGCCACGTGCAAGAGCCTACCTCCACCCACTTCTCAGATGCTGGGCCCCCATCTACCTACCCACGCAGCCTACAGGCCAGGTACCAAATAGCAAGGAACACCCCTTCCCTCCGAAGCGCCTGGCACCTTCACAGCAGCCCACCTGAAGCCTGCTCCCCTGCCCTGACCATTCCTTCCAGGCAGTTCCATTCCCCTCGTCCCCTCCATGTCCTCCCGCAGTCAGTGCCCCCTCATGGCTCTGCATGCAGACGGGAGCCCTTCCTCTTGGGGACGGGGAGTGATTCTCTTTAACTGACAGTGACCCCTGGCTGTGTGGCACTCTGTACCCCAATACTGATGGAACCCGCAGTGCACTGGCTTGCTTTATTAATTCCCAGGTCACACACTCGGTGTTGGTTCAAGGTCTGATCATGCAGCAGCTGGGTTGAAACCCGGGCTTCCTGCATGCAAAGTTTATGCTTCTGGAACCTGCATTTCAAGTGGATGCTGAGATTCCAGGGCTTTCTCGCTCTGCGCAGGTGGCCAGAGGGCTGGTGCTTGGTCAGTCCCTGCTGGGCATCCCCCTGGGGAGGAGGACAAAACTCACTTGTTCCTTTCCACAGTCTCCTCCTCCTTCCTGCCTTCATCAACAGGCAAGCATCGACAAACTTCCTGGGGTTTTATGAACCCACATCATGTTTCGTGAGCGCCCCCGACAGACAAGGCTGGTCTGGGTGCTGGCATATGCTCTGCTTGTGTTTTCATTCTGTTCTTTCTTTCTCTTTCTTTCTCTCTCTCTCTCTCTCTCTCTCTCTCTCTCTTTCTTCTTTCTCTCTCTCTCTTTCTTCCTTCTTTCTCTCTTCCTCTCTCTTTATCTCTCTTTTTTTCGTTTTCTCTCTTTCTTTCCATCCTTCCTTCTCTCTCTTTCTTTCTTTCTTTCTTTCTTTCTTTCTTTCTTTCTTTCTTTCTTTCTTTCTTTCTTCTTTCCCCTTCCTTCCTTCCTTCCTTCCATCCTTCCTTCCTTCCTCTTTGTCTCCCTCCCTCCCTCTCTCCCTCCCTCCCTCCCTCCCTCCCTCCCTCCCTCCCTCTCTTCCTTCCTTCCTTCCTTCCTTCCTTCCTTCCTTCCTTCCTTCCTCCCTCCCTCCCTCCCTCCTTTCCTTCCTTCCTTCCTTCCTTCCTTCCTTCCTTCCTTCCTCCTTCCTTCCCTTCCTCCCTCCCTCCCTCCCTCCCTCCCTTCTTTCTTTCTTTTTTTGCAGGGGGCACATTCAGTAGTGCTTAGGGGTCACTCCTGGCTCTGTGCTCCGGGGATGATATGTGGTTCTGAGGATCGAATGTGGGTGGGCTGTGTGCAAGGCCGGTACTCTACCCTCTGTACTAGCTCTCCGGTCCTGAGTTTTCACACTTATGGGGGAAAGATGAAGAGGGCGTTTTTTATTTTTAAAAGCCCAATGTTGTACCAGAAAGTGTGAAGGGTACAAAGAAGAAAACCGAATCACCAGTCAGAGATGAGCTGAGTAGAAAAGCACCCGCCTTGCATGATGAGACCTGGGTTTGATCCCTGCTGAAAGAAAATGGGAAGGGAAAGAAATTAAGGGGATGGAGAAATAACACAGGGGCTGAGTGGGACACCCTGCACGAGGGGACCCTGCTTTCACCTCCAGCACCCGATAGCCCCCAGGCATTGCTGGGTGCAGTCATGCAGGCTCCTGAGCACTGTCAGGAGTGGCCCAGGCGTCCTGCCCAAATACAGTCACTGGGAACACCAACAATCTCCAGCACCCTGTAGACAGAGCATGGCTCCATCCTCCGCCTTCAGTGGAACCATGGGCCAAGTTGGCTCAAAAAAAACCACGGGCCCCCTGAGCACTGTTTGAGAGCAAGAAACCAACCCAAACAAGCAGCACATTTGGGACCAAGAGACAGAACACGGAGCAGGCTAGAGGTATGGGGTGCCTCGGATGGGACTTTTGCAGAGTGTGGGGGAGGGGCTTGCAGCTGGAGGAAAGTCTGGCAAGAGGCTGTGGAGGAGGAGGTCACTTTCCCGCGCTGCAGGCAGGCTGTCCTGCGGATCTCAGGTCCTCCTGTAGGTGTCCTCGTGGGCTAAAGGAGGGAGCCGGGCTGCACCGGCCGATCCCGGGCGGGCCTCCAGCCAGCGACTTTCACTTCTCTCCCGCTCCCTGCTGCAAATCCTAGAAACAGTCCCGGTTAGCAAGCGGAGGTCCCCGGGGCAGAGTTGGAGAAGCCCCCCACCCCAGGGGTGCCGCACGCTTTTCCTCCGTGTACAGGGCGTGAAGGGGCCGCCCCGTGTGTCTCCTCTGCATTAATCCTACTCCCCAGTTGCTAGCTGTGGTTTATGGCATACAGAGCCCCGCAAGGGATGTGGGCTGAAAACTCGGCTTCCTGTTTGCGCCTTGTTGTGACCTCTGAGCCTGGTGCTTGCTCTGTGTGTGTGTGTGTGTGTGTGTGTGTGCGCGCGCGCGCGCGCGTGCACATGCACTTTTAGCTGAACTCAGGCTCTGTGTGTGCGTGTGCACTTTTAGCTGAACTCTCATTGTGCATCTTGTAGTGACCTTGAGCTCTGTGTGTGTGTGTGTGTGTGTGTGTGTGTGTCTGTGCCTGCACATTTTTAGCTGAACTCTCATTGTTCACTTTGTAGCAACCTCAGGCTCTGTGTGTGGGTGCACTTTTAGCTGAACTCTCATTGGTATCTTGTAGTAACCTCAGGCTTTGTGTGTGTGTGTGTGTGCGCGTGCACACACACACTTTTAGCTGAACTCTCATTGTGCATCTTGTAGTGTGTGTGCATTTTTAGCTGAACTCTTATTGTGCATCTTGTAGTGTGTGTGCATTTTTAGCTGAACTCTTATTGTGCATCTTGTAACAACCTCAGGCTGCGTGTGTGTGCACTTTTAGCTGAACTTTGATTGTGTATCTTGTACTAACCTCAGACTCTGTGTGTGTGTGCGTGTGTGCACTTTGAGCTGAACTCTGTGCGTCTTGTAATAACCTCAGGCTGTGTGTGTGTGTGTATGCCCGCACGCACGCATACTTTTATTTTATTTTTTTGAAGTTTAAAAGCTTTTATACAGCAAAGATAGCTACTACAAAACTAGAAGGAAATCAAGGAATTAGGAAGGAATACTTGTATACCATACGCCAGAGGGAGGGTTTCTATACAAAATGCATATAAAAATCATGCAACTCAAAAACAATAACAAACAACTCAATGGAAAAAATGAGCAAAAGACCTGAATAGACTCATCTTCATAGAATACTAACAGATGGCTACAGGCACATAAGAAGTCCTCGCACACTTTTAGCTGAACTCTCATTGTGTATCTTGTAGCAACCTGAGGCTCTGGGTGTATGTGTGTGTTTGTGTGCATGTGTGTGTGTGTGCACTTTCAGCTGAGCTCTCATTGTGCATCTTGTAGCATTTGATTCTCTTGAACCTGCGCCCCGATTCTCACCGTGTGTACAGGAAGCCTTTGAAAAGGGGACTTTTTTTTTGGAGCTCGTGGAGAAATGGTGCTAATTTCCATTCCCCTCCAGTGGTGTAAAGCAGTCCCGAGGGGAAGTGGCTCGCAGGAAGCTGTGGAAATTGCTCTTTGTGTGTGTGTGTGTGTGTGTGTGTGTTAGTTTGCTCGTTGTTTCTAACGGGACAGTGGCTCATTGCTTTCTCTCCAGCTCCAAGAGCTGCGCGAGGAAAACGCGACGGTGAAAGGACAAATCGTGACTCTGGAAGAGGCGAGGGCCGTGCACGAGATGGAAGCCAAAGCGAACAGAGAAACCATCTCCAGGCTGGCCTCGGAGCTGCAGGGCGAGCAGCGGCGGGCGGCCCAGGGCGCGCAGGAGAGGGAGCGGCTGGGCCAGGTAGGGGCGCGCGGGCGGGGCGCGGGCGGGGGCGCGCGGCCGCCCACGGGGCTGACCCGTGTCGCAAGGCTGCTCCGGGCGGGGGCGGAGGGCACGCGGGGGCACCAAGGGACAGGGTGACCTCAGCAGACCATTTGATAGGGTTTTCTAATTAGAAAGAGGGAAATTGAAAACACTCCAAAGGGAAGGTTTGTCCAGACCGTGACTTACCCGGGTTCAACTACAAGGATCTTTCAGGACACGTAAGAATCCTGTTTTTTTTTTTTTTTAAATTGCATCTGGGAGACACAATTTTTAGTGGACGCTGAGGTAGATGGGGGAGACATGGATTCTCCCTAATGCGTTTTCTTCTGCCACCCAGAAGCTTTGCTCACAATTTATTTAAAATAAAAAATTAATTTTATTATTTAAAAAAAAAGTTGGGGGGGTCGAGCGATAGCAGGTATAGCAGGTAGGGCGTTTGCCTTGCACGTGGCCATCCCGGGTTCGATCCCCAGCATCCCATATGGTCCCCTGAGCACCATATGGACCCCCTGATAAAAATGTTTATTTTTTTTATAATGCAGTACCATCTCCCTTTTTAATTGATTAAAAAGATATAATTCCTGAGTGCATGAGCCTGGAGGAACCCCTGTACATCACGGGGTGTGACCCAAAAAGAAAAAAAATCAGGGGCCATACCCAGTGGTGCTCTGCGCTCAGGGATCACTTCTGACAGGGGGCTCAGGGAACCCCATAAAGTGTGGGGGATTGAACTGGGGTCAGCCAGGTGCAAAGAAAATGCCCTACCTGCTATATTATCTCTCCAGTCCCCCGCCCCCCCCCATAATAAACCTTTATTTATTCATCTTATCATTCTTGGAGGAACACTGATTTGGCAAATATCTATTTTTGAGAGGAGCAGTGTTATCTCAAACGTCTGCTGTTTCAGTGCTGGTGTCACCCACCTCAGTCCATGGGACTCACTCCTTCCCAAGGTTCCCTTGGGAACCTGATTTCTGTGATCATGGTCTAAGGGTCTAGACCAGCTCTGTCTCTGAAACCTCCCATCAGGCACGACAGGCTGGAGTACGTGCTTCATTTATTTATTTATTAATTTAGGTTTCTTGAGTCACACCCAGCGGTGCTCAGGGATTATTCCTGGATCTGTGCTCAGGAATTACACCTGGAGGTACTCAGGGCACCTTATGGGATGCTGGTGATCCAACGCCAGAGTTGGCTGTGTGCAAGGCAAATGCCCTCCCCGCTCCTTGCTGTGCTTTCGTTCCCGCCTCTGGAGCACATGCTATAAATGCAAGAGCTCGGGTTCAAGCCCCAGCACTGCATATAGTATCCTTAAGCAGCTGCCAAGAATGACCCCTGAGCCCTGAGCTTGGGTAGTGCTCAAAGCACTACCAGGTGTGTCCCCCAAACCGATGATGCATAAGTCAAGAAATAAAACCATTCATTGTGTGGGAGTCCCTGAGAGAAGTGTTTCATTTACACAGAGACAAAAAATAGGCAAGTTCAACCCTCTAGCGATAGCACAGCGGGTAGGGTGTTTGCCTTGCACGTGGCCAACCTGGGTTCAATTCCCAGCATCCTGTATGGTCCCCCGAGCACTGCCAGGAGTAATTCCTGAGTGCAGAGCCAGGAGTATCCCCTGAACATCACTGGGTGTGACCCACAAAGTAAAAAAAAAAGTGGTTTGAGGGTCTGGGCTGGAGCCATAGTACAGCGGGTAGGGCGTTTGCCTTGCATGTAACAGACCTGGGTTCTATTCCTAGCATCCTTTATGGTCCCCTGAGCTCCCTCCAAGAGTCATGCTAAGCTCTGAGCATGGCTGTTTGTCGCCCCCGAAACCAAAAAGGCAGACAAAAACATTCCATGCAACATTCTCTCCCATGTGGAGGACCCTGAGTCCACTTGCTCCAATAAGTCCAGCATCTGCCCTGTGTCCTAGTCACTGTTTTCTGCTTCTCTTTATGTCTGTGCACATGGAAGCTCAGAGTTCCTTTGTATTTTGCACAAATCCCATTATCTCTCCTCACATGGACTCCCCTGAATATGCACGGGGACCTAGCGTGGAGCGGGGCCCCCATTCAGCCCTTAAAAGCACTCCATAGAGCACCCACTTCTCAAAGGGACCATTGCCCGGACCTGCTGGGGCCCATGTCTTCTTTCTGGAGTCCAGAGAAGAGATAAGATTTCATGATTGGTATCAAGTCCCTTCACTCATGTCGCACCCTTGTCTCAGTCTGCTTGGATGACCGTAAACAAGCCCCACAGAGAGACCTCATCAAAGGCTCTTGCCTCTCAAGTCCTAGGCTGGGGTTCTAGGTGAGGGCTCCCTTCCAGGTGTTTGGTGGCTGCTTCCCCACGTGGTCGCACACTCTCTGGTGCCCCTTCCAAAGTGGGCACTAATGCCAGCACGGTCCCGACATCCATCTGAACCCAGTGACCTCCCATCCACGGTCCTGTTTCCAAGTACCATGGCACTCGATGTTAAGACTTTAACAAAGGACCTGTGGAGGGACAAAATTAAGTCCAGTGTGATCCTACAAATAATTTCCTCTACACTTTCCATGTGGAAAAATTTTAGATGGATAAAAAGGTGCAGGAAGACAATGAGGGTGTAACTAAATTCCATTTTGACGCAACAGTTGTATGCATGAGTATTTGTAGAATCACTTAAAAAGCAAGTTATAGACACGTGTGTATCCTTTCTGACTATAGAACTCAAGTAGAGTGAGCCAGAGGTCATGGGTGTCACTTTGAAGACTGACTTGTACATGGAGTCTTTTCTTTCAGATTCTCTTACAAATAGATTTTTATTGAAAACACCATGATTTATGAAGTTGTTCTTTATACAGTTGTTTCAAACTTTTGGTGTTCCAACACCACCAGTGTGACCTTTCCTTCACCAGTATGCCCAGTTTCCCTCCTACTCCCAACTGGCCCACTTTGGCAAATAACAAATTTTCTTTCATATTGCTTCTTGCAATAAAACTTTGAGAACTGCCAAATAGAATGATCAGAAAATAAATCAGTAGGGGCCCATTAGTGAGTACTATATGATTCTGACCTATGTAAACAAGAAAGTTAAAACCATTTAATACAATATAAAAATTTCTATTCTCATCTACATATAGACATTTTCAACTCTGGAATCTAAAGTATATTACATTAAAATTTGTTTTATACTTGGATCTTGTTATAGAAGTAATCATGTCTCACCTGTCATTGATAACACTTTTAAAGCAAATTTGTGTTAATACATTTTAGAGTTTTCATGGAATAGGTAAGACCTGGATATGTAATTTTCCCCTTTCATCCTTTATAAGATCACTGTAAACGTTCTTTTGGTCTCATTGGAATCATTGCTCATGGGAGACACCGTGGCCAGGCGAGAACTCACACAGGTGCCCTGAGCCCAGGTTCCAGGAGATGAGACCCATCGCTTCCATGGGCCTGACATGCTTGGAGCATGAGTTGCCTAACATCTTGCTTGTTTGTTTTTGGGTCACACTCAGGGGCACATAGGGCTTACTCCTGCCTCTGTGCTCAGGGATCACTTACTGGTGGTGCTTGGGGGGAACGTGTGCAGTTCTGGGGATTGAACCCCTGTCAGCTGCATGTGAGGCAAATACCATAATCCCTATATAATTTAATTTTTTTGTTTGTATTTTTGGTCCACACCAGATGTTGCTCAGGATTTACTCCTGACTCTGTGCTCAGGAGTTATTCCTGCTGATCTCGGGGAACCTTATGGGATGCCAGGATCGAACGTGGGTTACCCTAGTGCAAGCTGGGCACCTTACTTTCTGTACACTGCCTCCAACCTCTAAAGAGATTGTTTTATTCAGAAAGATCCAGTTAATTCATTTTCCAATTCCCGACCCACACACAAAGGGAAGAATTAAACCCCATAAAGGATTGGGGTACCAAAAGCCATGCGGGCTTGAAAAGTTCCACAGATGGTATTGAGGCATTATTGTTCACTGTGAGATGGAAACTGTGAGATAATAACTGTTTTCTGACTCAAATCCATAATTTTGGGGTAATTTGTTACACGGCACAGAGATCCAATAATTGGCTCTTGCTGTCAGAGTGCATCTTGTGTTTTTTTTTTTTCTTTTTGGGTCACACCCAGCGATGCTCAGGGGATACTCCTGGTTCATGCACTCAGGTATTACTCCTGGTGGTGCTCAGGGGACCATATGGGATGCTGGGAATCAAAGCCGGGTTGGCCATGTGCAAGGCAAACACCCTACCCACTGTGCTATCACTCCAGCTCCCAGAGTGCATCTGAGAGATACTTTTTTCCTCTAACTGAGATCTTGTCAAGATTCATTCATTTCACTTGTTGATTCTAGTTCTTCCATAGTTTTTGTGCTTATTGAGGTTTGGGAGAGTTCAGGACTGTTCGCTTCATGATGTTGTCTAATGTTTCTTTGTACTCTGTCAATTATAGTTGGATCTAGAGGCTGGATTGTTTGCAAGAATATTTCTAAGGTCCAGATGTATGCTTGGTATTATGTCACATTAAAGGCAAATAAATGATGTCGAATTGTTCCACTGTCCTTGACACTTCAGGCTGCCCGTCTCTTCAGCGCCATGGCACATTTGCTAATTCTGCACTTATGCGAGGTATCTATGGGGTGATTCTTGGGAGATTATTTTTTTTCCCGTTGGCTTTACTGGATGATATTACCTCTGATTGCTTCTTGATTAATTTAACGGGAAGGGGAAAGTGGTACTCTTTACTTTTTCATTCCTTTGACTTGTTAGCTGGCATTCTATTCTGAATAAAAGCTTGGCGTATTTGAGTTTTCTTTTTCAATCCTGTGGGCCTGTGCATTTTCCTTTCTGTACCGTATTACAATCTCTTATTCTTTTTATTGGTGGGGGAGCACATCCAGCAGTGTTCAGGGCTTACTTATGGCTCTACACTCAGGCATCTCTCCTGGCAGTGCTCAAGAGAGGGATGCTGGGGATCACACCCGGGTCGGCCACGTGCA